TCCCTTCATTAAGGTGTACGTGGTATTGACGGTGGAGGACCTGACCCTCTTTTCTCTGGAGGCCTAGTTACTGTTCACGGAAACAAGGTGTACACTGTCAATGTAAGAGCCAAAGAACTAAATGTGCACAATTAGCATCTGACATGCGTATAGGCTGGATCCAACAGCGTCTCGATGCTTCTGACCCCACCAAGCTCCATCTCATTGGCCAGCCTACCAACAGCGGCGGTGAATTCCCCGTCTCCGTTACCATCTCCTCGAAGACTGGACAAGTTTGCATTCTCATCGGAGGAAAGGTTAATGGTGTCAGATAAAATTTGACCTAAAAATACAAACAGAACTGGTATTGATGTGTTTCCCTCTCAGCTGCTTTAAGCAAAACGGAGCTGCTGGCCTCGCCGCCATTCCTCACCAAGTTCGCTCTCCCGAATTGGACCAGACTACCCCTGCCACTGGCCCCGCCGGCAGTGTTTCTCAGGTCGCCTTCAACGAGGATAAGTCCAAGCTCTTTGTCGCTGTCAAGGGATTCCCTGGCACCAAGATTCCTGGCTACATTGCCATTTGGGACGTTGACGCCAGGATCGGTGCCCTTTCCCTAATTGACACCAAGTATCCTCTCCCACCGGCGGTCTTCTTCCCTGGAGCCTTACCAAGATCCCCGGAAAGAACTCGGTCATCATTGCCGATACTGGAATCGGTTATAACATCATCGACTTCACGCACAACACCAGAGCCACATATGTCATTGCCAACCAGACCGACACTTGTTGGACTGTCTTCAGCAAGCAAAACGGAAACGCCTATATCGTTGTAAGTTTATTTTATTTTAAATTCCTTCAATGTGTATGATCCATAGCTCCTAGGATGAGGGTGTGAAGACTGTCACCGAGGTCAACTTCGATACCAGGAACGTCGTCAATTCCTCCATCGTCAAGCAATACAAGTTCACCGCCAACCTTTTGGATACCGATATCGCTTCCATCCACGGAACTGAGTATGTGTATTCCTTACATTCGCTTCATGACACTGACGGTCTGTGATAGCTACCTTTATGTCTTCTCCGTTGGCAGCAACTCCGTTGAAGTTCTTTCCCTTGCTGAAGGCTTGGTGTCATCTAGGAATATGCCTATGCCGCCGATTTGGCTAGTAAAGGACTCCAAACCGGTATGTAAATTCAAGATATGATTGCTTCTATCTGGATAACTTTAGCGTCATATTAGATCCCGCCTACACTGCCGGCTTTGCTACTTGCCTTTTGTAATTGTCTGAGTTTTCTTCAGAAATCAGCTCCTGTTCTATAGAAACGCAATTTTAATTTTATTTATTTATTTGCTTCCTATACGTTGCCTACCGACAATTTCCTTGATTATCTGTTTCATAATATTAAGCCAGCTTGACATCCTTGTTCTCAGACTTACTACAGTGCCCTTCAATTCCGTATTCGCGTTCGAAAAGGCACTAGGATAATCTCTTCTTCTGAATCTAAGCGTAGTAGGATCTTTTATAGAATCATTTTTCAGTAATGGTAAATTTCTGTTAAGGTTTGAGATCGAAAGACGCTCCTCTATTTTCTATTATCGTAAGACCGCCGCCAACCTGTCGGTCTGATGGGCGATCAAAGGCGATGCATTCCAATTTAATAGCAATCTCATAGAATCGCAGTCTCCCTTGGGATTAGTCTGTTCGCGAGGAAATCGAGTACATATTTAACCGAGCCTATTAATGTAATTCAGTAGCTGTAGCTAAGGGAAACGATATTCCTACTCTGCAACTGGTATGGAAGCATGGAGCTCGCATTAGATCCGAAATACAGTACTGGTTTGGTAGTTCAGTGGTGGAACGATTGCTTAACCTGCAAAAGGTCGTCGGTTCAGGTCCAGCCCCGATCATTATTTTGTTTTTATACCTATATTATTTTTGCCATTCCAATTCGTCGTCTTCAAAGCGGAGTTACTTACACATCAGTATTCTCCTAGACAATACCATTAAGAAGGAATTATTAATTATTGTTCTATTTCACTGCACGCAAGTCGTCATCGATTCATTGGCTCTAATAGTAAAGGGAACACATCGATGCAATATCAATGAGGCATGAGGCATCTTGATCACTGAAGGCTGGCGGAACTCATAAATAGAGCTTCAAAATATATTCAATTGTAGCGAAAAACGTAAGATGTGAATTAAATATGACTGATAGGTAGATCGAATTCGGTGATAGCTGATCTAATAACTTCTTGAAGGTCAGAAATAAGCTAGAAAGAATAAATCTAATACTAATATTGACAATTGCGGTGTTACGCTGACGCGTCTCAAAAGCGGTACAATCTTATCTGGCGCTCGGTGAGTCATGTTTTTTTGCTGCCGTCCTGCTCCCGAGAACGGAGGCTGCTGCTCTGGTTCTACAGCTCTGTCTGGTCGCTGATACGGGAATTCGATATGCTAGATGCATGCGGATGATACTTGGGGTGAATGCTTGAGGTGATAGGAACGGGCTGCCTGGTCAGAGCTGTGGATTCCGTTGGACGACAGTTGGCTCAGGGCTGT